TATTTTAAAATACTTACGTAATGTGTATAACTTGAACTGGTCGCACGTTTCATCATGCTCAAATTGGCTTCAGTGCAAGTATCAAAATACGATGTCTCACTCAAGTGAAAGCAATGCTGCGAGTGATGAACGTGTGGAATGGAAAGTTAAAACCAGTGGATTGGTTTAAATGGGATCTTGCGATTGGTAATAAGTTTCACGTTGCTTAGTCAATCATTCAGTCCGTTATGTCAAGTCAAAGGTCAATTTTTCCTGAAGATCGCATTATTTAAGGTTCATATTCCAATCTTTGCGGAACTGCGTCACAACCAACGTGATGTTTATGCAAACTTGTTCCACGTATGATTCTAAGCACATTCTAAGCACGTTTTTGTGTGTTTTCAGCATACGTTTGTAATGAAGGTCTTCGTTAATGTGACGGTGCCGGCCCGCCGCGCGCGATCGGCGAACTCGTCGGTTGCCGCCGGTCATGCATCCCTACGCAGTGTTCCTAAGAAGCCGTGCTTCTCGGAATCAAAACACGCGCACTAAATGACCCATAGGCTATTGAAAATTGTGATGCCATCACACGACGTGCAGAAGATGTATTTTCAGGAAAGCTTCCGGGATCGCATCGACTCCCTCTTCGTTATCAGGGCGAGGGTTAAGGGACGATCCAGCTTTTCTTAGTTTTCTAGTCCGCGGACAGCGCATCCGCTACCTCATCCAATCTCATTATGAAGTACAGCGTTATTGCGTTAATGCAGCACATACCTCCGCTCGGCGGAAGAGGCACCATGCGAAAACATTCTACTCGTACATGGCAAGACGCAGCACAATCGAATGCTGTAGCAATTTCACCTCTTTGGCATAAGCCTGCCTTTGCGTGGCCAGAATGCATCGATGTGTGATTCCAACCCTTTAAATCGAGAACACGCAAACGGTTTTGTGAGCTGCTGTTCTCAACTTGAGTCGTAGGGATGCTGCAATCCGCTTACGGCAGCCAGCAGCATCGGCCAAGACCACACCTTAAAACTTGGCAGGAGCGAGATGCGATCAGCAGAATGCCTCGCGCGATCCTCTTACCGTCCAACGATGCAGATCTAGACCTTGGTTCCATTTAGTTGCCGCATCCCATTGCATTATCTCCCGCCCAGGAACATAAACAGCACGAGATGATGCGCATAGCTGAATGTCATCTGAATTGCCTAGCATCACAGTGAGGACCAGATGAAAGCAAGCCCGACGGAAGCCGTTCTTTTCCGAGCGTCGCACGCGTTCACGCCGGCGTACGTTAAGATTGATAAATATATCCGTTGTGCATCATGACCCGCCAACGTCCCGAGTGCAGCTTAGAGCGACGAAACAACTCATGCATACCTCCAGCCTGAAAACCGACTCCAGGATGATTTCGATACGGTGCACGCGTCGTGTGTGCGTGCGTGCGTGCGTGCGTGCGTGTACGCGCATTCGACTGCATTCAACTGCATTCAGCGTCGTCACGCCTGTGACCGACGCCACCGCTGCCGAGCCGACAGCGGCGCGCGCGCGGCGGCGCGGCACCGCGGAGGCCGACACGTGCGGCACGTGTGCAGCGCTGGACCAGCCCCGCGCGACGGAGCGGCCGGGCCCGCTCTCCGGTGTCCCGGACGGGCTGTCAGCGCGAGTCTGATCAATAGCCATGGATTACGGCACGGCGTGCCGGGCGATGGTCATGTATCCGAGAGCTTGGGGCTTATTCAATGGACGCGGATTAGCAGGAGGTCAACACAACAGCCGACGTGACGGCCTCCTGGCTGCAGGGAGCCCCTGCGGTACGAAACAAACAGAAGCATGCCAGCCAACACCAAATACGTCGTGCTTCCAGACGAAACTGATTTGCATGCGGTCATGGTTCATGCTCACAGCATGCTCACCAAACGGCTCAAACCTACTCATATTGAATTACCCTAAAATGTCCCGTCACTGGATGTTACCCTTTAAGAGTTTCAAGCAACAAATACACCTAGACACGTCTACCGCTTGAAACCGGGCGTGTTGAGATGAACGTTTTGAGATGACGGTTGCAGAATCCTCATTGTAACCATATTATACGATGCACCTCGAATGATGAACTGGGTAGAGCAAGCCAACGGAGGCCTTACACGTCCACGGTTGATCCTTGACCGCGATTATTTGCCTCACGACCAGCTGAGTGGCATCTCGCAGGATATCAGGCTCCCTCGCTGGGTTCCAGTCCCCACCGTCCCGCTCCACCATCCAGTCTCAAGTCCCATTCCATCAACTGTGGGTCTGCCACACCTCTGTGTGCTCCAGCAAACAGCCCTGCCTCTGTGGTTCCATCCCCGCACTCCCAGCTGCTTGTTCTTGTCTTCGTCTTTTGTCCCGTGAATCCAGCACGCATCATGTTCTCCGTGTTCTAATCTCTGCCCTGTCTCTGTATATTCAGATCATCCACCCCGTCCAGCTGCATTCACCCGCGTCCAAAGGTCACACACACACCGTCTCGGTATATTCCGACCCACCACCCTATCCCCACGCATCAAAGTCCACCCTGTCTCCGCACGTCCCGGTCCACCACCCTGCCTCCGCACGTCCCGTTCCACCCCTCCCCCAGCACATCCCCGTCCACCACCCTGCTTCCGCATATCCCGGTCCACCCCTGCCTCAGTACATCCCCGTCCACCACCCTGCCTCCGCACATTCCGGGCCACCCCTGCCCCAGCACATCCCCGCCCACCACCCAGCATCCGTACGTCCCGGTCCACCCCTGCCTCCGCACGTCCCGGTCCACCCCTGCCTCCGCACGTCCCGGTCCACCACCCTGCCTCCGCACGTCCCGGTCCACCACCCTGCCTCCGCACGTCCCGGTCCACCACCCTGCCTCTGCAAACCCCGGTCCACCACCTTATGACGGTGCGTTCCCTCGCACCCCACACCCGTGAGTCCCCTCCCTCCTCCGGTCCCTGCCTCCGCCCTGTCCCGCCGATCGCTGTCCTCGTCGGGACGCCGCCCGCCTCCTCCGGCCACGTTTCGCCGACCGGCCATCCGGGTCCAGGCGGCCCTAAAAAAATGGCCCGCCGGCGCCGTGCCGGGCGTCTGGTATTCGGCGGCGCGGCGCGCCCGGTGACGTCCACACATTCCAGTACATCATGCGCCCGCTCAAAGGATGGAAACATGTGTTCGATGGAGAACGGTGATTAGACCGATTTCGGGAGCATTAGTGCTACCGGGGTGGTCGACAATGGGCTAATTACGGTCGGAATGCGCGCCGATGGATGGGCCGCGGCGCCGCGCGCCGGCCGCCGGCCGCGTCATCTGCCACCAGGAAGTGGCCACCGTCACCACACCCGGTCCGGGCGCGGCCGGCTGCCGCTCGCGCCAGACGAGCCTCGCCTCGCAGGGTCACACGAGGCTGATTGGGTTCTGGATTGGCCTTCCGTGACGCGCTCAGCGCAGTCTTCCAGGACTCGCTGGGCGCGGCAGCGTGGCTGACTCTTGATCCCGCATGCCGCGGTGGGAGAGTGTTGCGCAGTCGCACGGATTCAAAGGCACGGGACAACTAGGCAGGTAATGGGCTGACTCAGGGGCACATGGGTAACTAGGGAGGTAAAGAGCTGATCCAGAGACACTGGCTAACTAATGAGGTAATGGGCAATTCAGAGGCACGGGGTAGCTACAGGGGTAATGGGCTGATTCCAAAGCATGGCATAGATGGAAAAGCTATCGGCCGATTCGGAGATACGGGATAACTGAGGTAATGGACTGATTCAAAGACATGGAATAACTGAGGTAATGGGCTGATTCAGAGACACAGGGTAACTACGTAGGTAACGGGCCGATTCAGAGGCGCAGGGTAACTAGGGAAGTAATGGGCTGATTCAGAGACACATGGTAACTAGGGAGGTAACGGGCCGATTCAGAGACGCAGGGTAACTAAGGAGGTGATGGGCTGATTTAGAGACGCATGGTAACTAGGGAGGCAATGGGCTGATTCAGAGACACGTGGCAACTAGCGAGGTACTGGGCTGATTCAGAGACACGAGATGACTGAGGAGGCAGTGAACTGACCTCCCACTAGGAAAGTAACGTGAGTTGTACGTCAGTGGCTGAGGAACGCAGGCACGATCGACTGTTAGGATGCGGGGGCTGCCGGGCACGGCGCTGTGCGCTGCTGAGGTGGCTGCGATTTTTACGAGCAGACCAGCTTCTGCGGCCATTTGGCGCTGGAAGTGGTCGCAAAACACGCGAACCAAGAATACGATTAATATCTTGTGCGGGAGGGACATGCTGCAATGCGAAGTCCAAAATTGTTTCCCGGAAATATACGCTGTTTGTGAGTAATAATAAAAAGGGCTAGCTCCTTCGAGGATGCCGCTAAATTGTTTTGAATGGAGACTGCACCAAGTGATTGCTTTGTTCCGACATTGGCGGTTAGTGAGGGCCCCACCGCGCGCCAAAATACGCGTTTCAAGGAAGCAGGTAACGCGAGCAAAGCTGTTCGCAGCCTGAAGACGAAACCCCACTTGGCACTAGGATATTTGCTAAAGATTGACGACATACACCGCTCCCATTATCACCAATAGCAGCATCACCCAAACAAAGCAAGCAGGTGAGCATCTTGGGTGAGAGTCGAAGAACTTAACACTCGCTGTGAGTACGCAGCTACCATGCACTTCTTCATTGCATCACACACAGGCATCTGATACGTCAAAGGACACCGAGGGCGTCCTTGCGGGGTCATTCCCACCCTTGCCAGCAAGGTAACAGCAGTCGACGACGGCAGGGGCATAGCCGTTACCCTGGTCAACATCAAAGACTGCAGATAGACTGGATCGGTCGTTCGAGCTGATGCCCGGAACGAATCTGGTAACAAGGGCATCTCGGCAAACTGGGAAAATGACATTGAATGGACTTGAATAGAAAACTGAATACAATTGAATAGAACATGGAGGGTGGCGGACTGGCTGGCATGAAGCCGCGTCTGTTTTCTTAGCAATATACACACAACAGTATGGCTGGAATTTATATATTGGGGAATAACCTTAGTGTGAGAGGAAGGTATCCACTAGAAACGCAGTTGTTTTTCACACTCTTTTCGCACTTTTTCACACACGACTAACTCACTCACCCTGGAATGGTTGAGAATAATGTGCGTTTAACGTTACGACGAAGACATCACCATCAACCATCAGCCAACAGAGGTAGTTACTGCCCGATTTGCGCGCGGCATTCCCGCCAGCCCGATTTCGTGCAAAAATATATTAAAACCACACACGTACCAAAAACACAAACATGAGTTGAAGCGGCCGAGTCCGCCGGGCAGGCGGCGTGGTGCGAGAGAGGCGAGTATCACAGCGTGCTGGCCGGCCTGGGCGATGACGGGAGCACCTCGGGGCGTTAGTATCACAGGCTGCGCCGGCATCATCTTCAGCAGCGACGGCGGCGGCTAGGCGTCCGGACGCTCCGGCTCCGTGATGCGGCCGGTGGTGAGCGCGCCGCCGCGGCCCGTCCACTCTTCCTTCAGCGTCACCTGGCAGTCGAGGTCGCGCAGAGCCGCCCGCGCCTCCGCGTCCACCTGGTGGATCGAGGGCGAAGCTGAGCAGCCGGCCAGCGCCGCAAGGGACACCACAGCCAGCACTGAGGCTGCCTGGCGCGGTGTCCTGACCTCCGGATAGCCAGCAGCAGGCTCCGTGCTGGCCGCTCAGCAACACGTGGCCGGGCGACTGCTGATGCTCACAAGATCTTCATGACCTGCTTGCACTAAGTCGCGTTTGCACCCCATCCTTTTAAAACCCTATCACTTCGTCCCAACGTGGGCTCCGTCCTCTGTGCTGTGATTCTCCCTCCTAACATGTCTAAAGCCATCTGCCGGCGTCTGCTCACCTTCGGTCCGTGCGCCTGAAGCCCTCTGTTGGCGGCTGCTCACTTTCGGTCCGCGCGCCTGGAGTACTCCGTCGGCTCTGCTCACCTTCGGTCCGTGCGCCTGGAGCACTCCGTCGGCTCTGCTCACCTTCGGTCCGTGCGCCTGAAGCCCTCTGTCGACGGCTGCTCACCTTCGGTCCGTGCGCCTGAAGCCCTCTGTTGGCGGCTGCTCACCTTCGGTCCGTGCGCCTGGAGTACTCTGCCGGCGTCTGCTCACCTTCGGTCCGTGCGCCTGAAGCCCTCTGTCGGCGGCTGCTCACCTTCGGTCCGTGCGCCTGAAGCCCTCTGTTGGCGGCTGCTCACCTTCGGTCCGTGCGCCTGGGGTACTCCGTCAGCGTCTGCTCACCTTCGGTCCGTGCGCCTGGAGCACCTGGTTGATCAGCTGCTCAATGTTCAGCTCCCTGAAGACGGGCCGCAGCTCAGGGCTGCGCGATACCATGTTCCTGACGGCCATGCAGGCCAGCTTCTGCGGGAGACGGCGTTCAGTCAGACGCCGGCCGGTCGGTCGGTCAGTCAGTCAGTCACTTAGTCAGTCAGTCAGGCGGGCTGAACAGCGGGCCAAGTCTCGATGGTCAGCCTGACTGGCCCACCAGTCTGAACGGTTCGACGCGTCCGGTCCGTCAGTCTAACAGCGGGCATGGAGGCCGGTCTGGACTACGGCATCAGCTTGGACCAAACGCCGGCTGGACCAGTCGTCTCTGGCCCTATGATACACCGACGGGGCCCAACACGCCACTCTGTCGGTCACGGAACAGAGGAACAGTCCTAAAGGCGACGATGCGTCACTCGTCCCTGTAACTGACCGTGTGTGGCAACAGAACACGCTGGACGGTGCCAATAGTTCAGTCGGGAAGGGCGGAGAGGAGGACGATTTCGGGCACTTCTACTGCACGGTCATACAGCAACAGTTCAGTCGGAAAGATAATCAAGTATATAAGTCGGCATGACACTCTGCACACGTGCCTGAATGCTGATGTGAGCGCGTGCAGGAATGGGGGCACAATCAGCGACGGATTTTGGAAGGGGTGGAAGCAGTGATGTAACGGGTACAGGCCAAGACATCAAGATCCAACCATCGAAGTGGATGAAATAAAGTGACTGATGCGTCTCTGAACTTATAAGCGCACCATGAACTTATGCAATAATGGCTCCAGAAATTGCCTTAAGGTAAGTGGCAATGCCAGTCATGGCACCTGGGTGATAAGGCAAAGGTCACGACATTAAGCCACTTACAAGTAGGATTCAAAGTGAGGACACCACGTGTGGCAAGTGGGGACACCACTTGTGTGACAAGACAAAGGTCATGACTACGTTAATCCAGTTACAAGTAGAGATCAAAGTGGGACACCATATCCAACGCAATGGAAAAATAGGCTGCCAACAATCCACTATATGTCTAACCATATATAATTATCAGTAAAAAAATACACTCGGGTATTTTGAATCAGCTTCCGTTACGAATCAGATCCATACATATCTAAACCGAAATCAACGCCATATGAACGTTGCCCTGCACTGTCTGCATGCTGCAGATGACTCCCATGCTGGCCGGCCCCGGGAAACAAACTAGTTTCGATGAGCCAATCATGTGCCACTAGTGCCGTGGTTAAGCTGCGTGTCTGTACCAGAGGTACCGGTTCTATTCCCCGCGGCACCCACCCTTCCTGCCAGGACGAGGCGCAGACGACACCATACAGCCTCGGCAGCTGACAGAGTCTTATAGCCACAATGACAATACACACTTCAGCTCTATCTAGGTATCCCCGACAAACGCTGTGGTTCCCTGCCCGGCCGATAGAGGCCTCCGGTGGTCTCACCTGGGTCTTGGGCTCGCCCAGGTGCAGCTCCATGGCGGCCACGATGACCGGTATGGCGTCGGCCGCGGCCAGGGCGGCGGCGTTCTCCTGGCTGCGCAGCGTCAGCGCACCGATCGCCGCGAACGCCGACTCGCAGACCAGCACCTTCGCCTGGCGGCAGCAGGGAGAGGCTGGAGCACCAAAACACCAGCACCCTCGTCTGACGACGGCAAAGAGAGGCTACAGCACCAAAACACCAGCACCTTCACTTGGCGACAGCGGAGAGAGGCTGGAGTACCAACACACCAGCACCATTGCCTGACGGCAGCAGAGAGCCTAGTGACAGCACAGAGAGGCTACAGCACCAGTACACCAGCACCACTGCCTGACGAGAGCAGGGAGAAGGCTACAGCACCAATACACCAGCACCATTGCGTGACGAGAGCTGGGAGAAGGCTACAGCACCAATATACCAGCACCATTGCCTGACAAGAAGGCTACAGCACCAATACACCAGTACCATTGCCAACGACAGCAAGGAGAGGCCACAACACCAATACACTAGCACCATTGCCTGACGAGAGCAGGGAGAAGGCTACAGCACCAATACACCAGCACCATTGCCAACGACCACCAGTACCATTGCCAACGACAGCAAGGAGAGGCCACAACACCAATACACTAGCACCATTGCCTGACGAGAGCAGGGAGAAGGCTACAGCACCAATACACCAGCACCATTGCCAACGACAGCAAGGAGAGGCCACAACACCAATACACTAGCACCATTGCCTGACGAGAGCAGGGAAAAGGCTACAGTACCAATACACCAGCACCATTGCCAACGACAGCCAGGCGCACGTGCGCCTTCGTCTGAGGACAGACAGGCAATTCTACATCATCCTTTCTCAGTCGGCCACCAATTACGGAGCTCACGCACCCGTTCTTACCGGCCGAGTGCTAACACTGAAAATGCCAATAGGTTGTCAGATACAGCAGCTTTCCGCCACGCCTCAACACATTGGGCTGGAGCGGTGCTGGAGGCCGATGACAACGGCTATGGCGGTCAAATCCAACGGCATCGGAGCCAGACCGACAGCCTCGCCGCACCGACCTTGAGCGTGTCGAGTGCGGCGGTGATGACCTCCGCCGCGCCCTCGTCCATGATGGCCCGCTTCACCTTGTCACAGCCGGCAAGCGTCCGGATGAGGAAAAAGGCCCGGCCGACCAGCGCCTGAAGCAGAGCGACGCCGTGCCGTACTCCGAAACCGCCGCACGACCGCGGAGCGCCGACCAACACAAGCAAGCTGGCCGGCAGACAAGACAAAAACTAGCCGTCAGACAACACTCGAACGAGCTAGCCGTCACACGCACTAGCGCGCCGTTGCGAGGCGTCGCCAATGGCCGATCTGAACAGAAGCGCGGAAGCAACGATGGACCAGCACCTCGCTCGTGCGTCCCTCCGGCGCCGCCGCGAGACAGCTGAGCGGCAGCCCCGGCGGCCAATCCGGAGCAAGGCGAAACTTCTCCGAGCCGGGCGGCGGCAACACGACTCTGCCTGCACGCGCTGTCCGCTCCCATGCCGGGCGTCGCGAACGGCTGGCCGCCTCGCTAACGGCACGCGGGAAACATGACGAACGCCTGCCACCCTCGAAACCCGAGGTCCAGAGCCACCCCGCGGCCGTGGTGCGGCTGTGGGAGCCAGCGGACGCCGGCCCCGCCACTCACCGTGTGGCTCGGTGAGCGACGCATGGTCTCCAGCAACGTGTGCAGGCCGCCGCCGCCGGCGAACTGCTCGCAGAACTCCTGGCGCACGCACAGCTTTGTGCACGTGTGGATGAGCTCGGCTGACAGCGCCGGCTCGTCCACCGCTCCTGTGAACCGGGCCACGGGTCACAGGCACAGGCACAGGCACGGGCACGGGTCACGGGTCACGGGCCACGGGTCACCCGTTCCGCCGCCGGCGGACACACAACTGACGGCCGTTGGCGGGGTGTTCAGCTTGGAGAAATCACAGACTTAAGCTGCTTGAACATTACAGCAACGAGCCCAGCCAGAACACAGGAAATGCTGTAAGCTGAAATGGTTGATACGATGTTGAAGTAAAACTTATGGAAGCCTTCAAGCGAGTGGTACAGTCCGCGCAGTGGAAGATCGAGCCAGTGATATGTTGCAAGCCTTCACACGACCTTGAATGTAAGCAATGTAAGCATTACTTTCCCATAACTGTGATCAAACTCAATGTTTCGAAGCATCCGACCATGACGTCAAATTGCACTGGCTCGTCAACTGCAAAGTCAGATCGCTGCAGGTTAAATCTCGCCGCTAAAATCAGGTCGTAATTTGCGCAAAGCCTCGAGACCAGCCACGATTCCGTCCCCAGAGGGGTCCGCAGAGGCACAGCCAGAATTTGCGGCCGAGCTACCATGAATTGCGATGGAGTCCATTTTTCACGAGCGAGTCCCAGTCCCATTGCCAGTACCCGCGAACTGCGAACAGACCCACAAATCCAACAAGCGCTAACTGGCACGGTATCTAGCGTATCAATGAGCTATCGATGTTAGTTCCCTCTGGTGTCTACAACGGTTGTTTCAGATTGGTACGACATCTATTCACTGAGCTATATCCGCTAGTCTTGCTACTAAATTACGGCTGTTTGGCTCCACAAGTCACTGACCATGGTATTTTCTATCAAATTCAAAACCAAAATAGTTTTCCTGATCATCAGATTCTGGAAGTATGTTGAGTTACGTCGTGGTGAAAAACTGCACTCGAACCTGACGGGGGAGGGCTATGGTTCTACGAGCCCCCGCCCTTGGCTGCGCCACCGGCCTCGCGGCCGGCCGGCACCTTTTAGCAGCTCCAGCAGCGCGTCCAGGAGGCCGTGCTCGGCCACCAGCTGGCGCGCGTGCTCGTGCGCGCGGCCGTACGGCACGCGCACGTCGTCGTCCAGCGTCATGTGGCGCAGCAGGGCGCAGACGGCGGGCAGCTGGCTGCGCTCGGTGTCGGCGTCGCACAGTCGCTCGGCCAGCTCGGCCAGCAGGCCGGCGTCGGCCAGCGCCTGCCGGTTGGCCTCGTGGCGCAGCGTGACGGCCGCCGCCCAGGCCAGCGTCTCGGCCGGCAGCTGGCGCAGCTGGCGCAGCAGCAACGCGCAGTCAGCCGGCTGGAACAGGTCCGGCTGGCCGTCCTGCAGGGCGGCGAGCGTGCGCAGCGCGGCGGCGGCCGCCGGTCGGCCCGGCTCCAGACAGGCGAGCAGGGCCGGGTACGCGCCGCGCCGGCCGGCCAGACAACGCTCCGGCAGGCCGGCCGCGCAGAACTGGCGCAGTCGCTCGAGCTGCGCCGCCAGCTGCAGCCGCTGCGCCTCGGACGGCTCCGGCTCGGCCGCCAGCGCCGCCAGCTCGGCGATCAGTGTCGGAACGTCGCCCGCCCGCTCGTCCGCCACGATGAAGCGGGTGTCTACGCCCTGCGACGGGGCGGCGAGAGTGTCAGGATGGTGGCGCGGGACGGCCACCGCCAGTCACAAGCCGCACAGATTCAGCGAGCTCGGTAGCAAGGACGTACGACACAATGCATCCCGTCAAACTTCGTCCAACCACAGCTGCGAGAGTCAGCCTGAGGGTATTAGTCATCCATCAGTTGCACCTTGGCATTTAACACCTCGGTTGATTAATCATTCAAGAATACCAGCCTTCAAAGCGCACGGCTTAGTGCGACTTCCGGCCGCGTCTGAGGGCAAGGCGCTGGCCAAAACTTTCTCGAAAGCTCCCGGGCCGATTGCGATAACATTCGAAACACACCAGACTGATCCAGCTTAGGCACGCCCAGGCCGAGCCGTGCGTCACGTCACCGTGTAGTGGCCACAGCAGGAGTGCGGCGTTCCCAGCCAACTACAGCTGTGTAACCGATGATTGATGTTTGATCCGCAAGTCCATGGGCTTTTGGACTGTGCTCTACTGACATAGTGTCCGCCCATGTCTGTCTGCCTCATGTGTCAAACTCATGTCTGAGTGGAGAGAAATTTGAAAATTCAGTCAGGAACGGCGTCCGAGTGTTCGTTTCATTCCCTGGATTGAACATTAAAGGCACCCCCGTCCACGTAAAAATGGAAACAAATATCATCTACCAACTGCTAAAACCTGTCCCATTTCATTTAAGACACTTCTAAGGCTTAGCACAGACCACACTTGTCCTCTTGCAGAACACAGCAATTCTCAAACTTGCATCGTGAGGAAGGCCACGCCAAGGTGAGGGTGGAATATCTTCGACTGAAGGAGTGGCAAGTGAATACGCATCCGGTGGACGACTGTCTCTCCAACACTGACCAGGCAAAAGAGCCACAAACAAAGACGGGAATAACAGTATCCCACATCAATGGCGTTTCTAAGATTCAGAATTGAATGGCTCTCCACCTCAGCTAAGCATCAGCACAGCGTGTACATTTGTTCACAATTATTTGCCATCCACCTCAGCTATACATTACCACAGCGTGTACATTCGTTCATCATTATTTCCCATCCACTTCAGCCAAGCATCAGCACAGCGTGTACATTTTTCACGCATTATTTCACAGGTATATTTCAGTTTTGGTGTAAATGTCCACGCTTCAAAAGAAGCGCACGACCGGACCCGCTCCACACAAACGCCTTCACGGACCTGTGTCGGTCGGCGACCGCCCCGGCGCACCAGAACCCCGAGCCACCGCCCGGACAGCGCTGCCGCATGGGCTCACGGAGGCGACATCAGCGCCGCACGCCGATCCATGCAGAGCACACGCCGTCATCGACCTGATCCCGACCTCAGCTGGTTCAGCGCCGCAGTGACTTCCAGCTTGGCGAGGCCGCCCACCGGACGGGAGTGGCCCCCTGCTGCTGCAGCGATGCACACAGCCAAGTTGGGGAGTAATAAAGGAGCCGATGTACCCTCTTACACGCAAGGAACAACAAGGTGACGAGCAGGCAAGACGGATAACGAGGGCAATTCCGAGGCCTCGAGAAAGCACACCTTTGCTCTCAGCAAATATTTTCACGGGCGGCGGAGGGGGATTCGGACCAGTTGGCGCAGCGGGCAGGAAGCGACGGCGCCACATCGGGAAAGTAGCTCCGTCAAAGGTCGAAACTACCGTGCAGACCGCCCCTATCAAAGAGACAACAGCTGATCACTTCCATCACCTGGGCGACCAGCTGCTGCAGGGCATCGGTGACCGCCTCCTCCCTCTCCATCTCGAAGTCGTCTATGTTTTGCTGGACTATGGATTGGAAGGTTTCCTGGAACACGGATGGGTCGCCCGCCATCTTCTCACTCATTTTCACTGCTCGCGTCTGGAAGAGAGTGGCAGCTGTCAGAGTGGCGCTTACAAGCTGGGGACCGAGCGCAGCGTGTGAGAGAGACAAGCTGTGACAGCAAGCTCGACGAAAATCTCCTCAACAAAATTATAGCGAGAAAAGCAACACCTGGCTTCGTTTTAGATTGGCCCGTTCGGTTGATCATTAACTAGATGCATTATTCCGGAGCCAAGCGATGTTTCAAGCGGCAGCTGCTGAAGTTGCTTCCAAGAAGTTATCTCCAATTTCCGAACTAATCCGAAGGGCCAACCAGTGTTGACAGATTGCAAATGACTATTCGCTGAACACAATGGATGCGCCAGTGGCACATCTGGCAGGAGAAAGACCGGTCTCACACCCGCGGACGCCCGTCTTGCACTGCTCAACACGCATGTACCCAGACAGACGCCCGAGCGAAAGCTGTATGTGGTACGTGTATCACCGCGTGACAAGAATCATCAATATTCGACACGACTGAGCCATGGAATTTCAAAACAGATAGCTGCAACTGCTGAGCCTTGCACGCCCGAGTCCAGCGTAACCACCACTTCGAGCAAGCACGCGAGGCGGCGCAAGCCCTCTCAGCGCTCCAGCCGCTGATTTAGGCGCTGCCTTCGACGCCACCCGACTTTGCTCAGCGCCCTGGTACGTCAGTCAGTGTCCAGGTTCAGTTCGATTCCGTGTTTGCGTCCCATGACCCCCCCCCCCCCCTGGCGCTTCGCTACGGCGACGCCTCTCTGTTTGTGATCAGTGCTGGTGAGCGTCGCCGTGTGGTACGACTAACTGGGAAACGTCAGCTAACCGCCCGAGCGTACAGTGTTTATGGGCTTGTGCCACCTTGATCGGCCGTAGATATTGGCCAAAAGCTGCGCCGCCAGGAGCATTCGAAACTAAGTTTCAAGCAGGACGCATGCCCCTCGTGAAAACCCCTCGTGAAAATGGTTTAGTTCAGGTCTGACGCCATAAATTTGATGCTTATAGTGAGTAGTCTGCGGGCATTTCGATCCGCATCATAAGGTCTTCGAGTAATCACAGAAGAAGGTGCGCAATACTGAAAATAATGAAGTTCTTAAGACCGCATCTCGACTCTTAGATCCTATAGTCCGCTATCGATTTCAATGCCTCCGAAATTGTCCCATTTATACCAACTTCCCGAGCAGAGAGACAAATGAGACACGCCGCATGGACCGGCGGCGGCGTCGTGTTTTGGCCAGCTTCGTCCGCGGCGGGCGCACTGTGCGGCGCGGCGGCCGCGGTGCTCCCAGCGGCCGCCACTGGCTGCGCCAGTCTCCAACAGCGATGCTGCTGCTGACCGTGCTGCTGGCGCTGCGGCTGTGGATACCGCATCCTCGCGGGTGCGAACCGTCGGCGGCGGCCATCAGCAACCGGCAACGGCACCGGCAACGGCACCGGCACCGGTACCGGCACCGACGAGTCGGACCGCCCCTGCCCCGCCTCCTGGTGGCCCGACGCCGGCCGATGCTACCGCGTGGTGAGCAGCGCCGAACTGCCAGCCAGCTGGCACCTGGCGCGGGTCTGGTGCGCGCGGCACGCGCCCGGCGCCGACCTCGCCACCATCACCACGGCCCGACTCAACCAGCTCGTCCTGCGGCACGGGCTGATGCAGGCGTCCGGCGAGCTATGGGTCGGCATGACCGACCTGTTCGGCGAGGGCGCCTTCCGCTGGCTGGACGGCACACCGGCCGCGTTCGTGCCGTGGGGACCGAACCAGCCGGACAACACCGCCAGCAACCAGCACTGCGTGGCCCTGTCGCTCGCTAATCACTCGTGGGCCGCGCCCGGCCAGTGGGACGACGACTTCTGTCACACCATCAAGGGCGGCTTCGTCTGCCAAATGCGGCCGTAGCGGCGGCTGCGCGACGGGCGACAGCTGCCGCGCCGCCGGCTGCGCGGCGGGCGCCAGCTCCAGCCGAGGCGGCTGCGCGTGTGCCGTCGGCTGCAGCTGCCGGGCGCTGAAGACATCGAGCACCAGATGCCGGCGGCCGGACTTGGCGCACGCGCAGGCGGTCACATGCCACGGCGCTGCCCCTCTCGGCGCTCGACACACGTGACGCGGGGAGCAGGTCACGGACGCTGACCGATCCTTCGGTGCGCTCGGGGAGCGTCTCCTGCACCGTTTGCGTCAGCAGGGTGTCCAGTTCGTAGCAGTGATGAGCTTTCCGAGTGGATCCGGACCATCCAGGGGCGAACAATGAGGCCTCACCGACAGGCGGACACTTGCGCTGCGGGCTGACGCGTTATCACGCTTCATGACGCAATACACTCCTTGGTCCTATCTGGTTTATAAACAGGGACAAATATGCAGCATAGTCTGTACCAACTCGGTGACAGATGATTATTCATGCCGCAATATATTTTACTTTCCGCAACCCATTAACATGTGAGGTAAGGGTATTTCTCGGCGTTTTTGCCCTGCAAGATATTGATTTGATCAGCCCCATTTAAAGGAAATGTTCCGTGTTTGAAGATACTGAAGCAGATATCAGATATGATCAAATCAACTCACTTATAAAACTTGGTAAATTTTAATTGGAGAAGGCTGGTCCAAACAGCACAATTTCTATGTTTAGTGACTATGCTCCTCAATGCATCATCGTGCCTTGCACAACATTGATTCAGAGCCAATTGACGGCCGTCATATCTGGAAATCGAGCTCCCAAACGCCAGATATGAACGACTCGACAATCGTATTTTTCTTGGCCTTGATCGCCGCGCGGCCAATGGAATAGCAGGATTTGAATGACGTGTCATGATGGCGTCATGGATGCCTGGGTGATCTGGAAAAAGTCTCTTGAAGTGGTCGAAATAGTCTGCACAACTTTGTGGGGAGGGGGGGGGGAGGCGTGCAGCGCAGAGCCTAAAGGCGTTTAGGTCTTCAAAAGGGCAGGGCCGTCAACTGCACCAAATGGCCTTCAAGATGGCCATTTCCATTCAAAATTCCATACAAATGTCAGACACCCTCTTTAATTCGCGTGCGTTAAAATGGTCAGAACGACGCGGAAACCAGGTGACATCACATAGATTCCGAACAAGAAGTAGATAACAAAAAGGTGATGAAGGACCACAGAGTACCTGTCACCATACCTGGCAGGCAAGAAGGACCCCTTCCCCCCCCCCTCCCCCCCCCCCCCCACCCAGAGGCTAAATCCCCCAGTACTGAACATGGCCAACTCACTACCAAAGCACTGAGCCTGAAGACCCCAGTGTGTGCCCTACACTATTGAAAGCAAATAAATATAGGTAAGTGCAACAATAGGGACAAGCAAACAAGGGTTCAAAAGAGCAATCTACTGATTGTAGCCCCCCCCCCCCCCCATGTAAAAATACCGGCTATGCCACTGGTAATGATCAAATGCTATGATGTTCCATTGGTGTGACCCAAATGGCATGCTCTAACTCTGACATATTTTCTATAATTGGATCAATATCAAAAACATAATAGCATATTCAGGAGTGCACTGGGTCACAGTTGACACCTGGAACTACACAAGACATACACATATTTATATTTCAGCTCTTTATGTTAACAATAAGATTGGCATGTAGTTGATCATGCATGCTCTTATTACAATGTCTATGAACATACCACAGGCCCTCTGAAAACTAAAAGTATTATGGTTGATGACTTTTTTAACAACACAAAGGTTATGTCACCCTGGAAGAGGTGAAGAGGTCACATTTTTAGGCTACCAACAATGCTAATCTACAGTTTCTTATTATTTAGTATGATATTTAGCCACTCATGGTGAGTTAACAAAATGTCATTTAACTTGTGGTTTTGCTAGAATCAGTCACTGAAAATAATGCCTAAAACCTAAAAAGATATAAAGATATCTGGCCAACAAAGAGCACCATGGGCCTGTTGAGATTGGCCTACCTCAGGTTCCATACACATCCTTGAAACTAACCTAGCACCTAACCTGCATAAATTTAGTTATAAATGAGATCTTTAGAACAGTAGAGCTTTTTTTGAAAAATTAGTTCAAGTTTGCAACTATAGAACCAATTTAAAATCTAGTGTCTTGGCATAGTTCTGCCACCCAATGCACTGGGGAATTCAGACAAGTAACAAACTGGAGCTGAGATTGAGCACAACAGCAATATGCAATGAAGCATGCAAAAACATAAAGGGCCGATAGTTCACGGCAGTTCAGCTGTTTCACGGAGGCATGTCACTATCAGAAGAGGAGTTCCTGACAAGCCACGACTCCCAGGTGACGAGAGGACACCAATGGAAGGTCAGAAAACCTGAGCTAGGACTCTCATCTGTCATACGGAGGGTTGTGTTGTCAATGACTGGAATGCTCTTCCAATTCCCAATAACCATAAGGTAAGGTAAGGTAAGGATAATTTGCAAAGACCATGGTAGCTTAAAGGCCTAATGCCCCATGATTGTCCCAAATGCATCATAGTTGTCCTAATCACTGCCATAGCATCCTGTCTTGCCTTGCATGCAGCTACAAGAAAAGCCCTCATAGACCAAGATCCACCAGTTAAATTGAAGTACTTGGGCATATCATCTTGCACAAGCACAGTGCTTTTTGTTCTTGCCTGCTCGCCTGTTTGCGCTAAATGGGTACCCAAGTTGCAAGCAACCAAACAAAATATGGCAGTCAGCAGGGTGACTCTGAAGTCTGGAATCTTTAATGTTGACATTGCGACATGCTTGATGCAATTTCCAGCTCAATTTAACAACTAGCAATGTAAAATGATTATAATTGCAAATTCAAAGATAGTATCTTGTATGTTATATGGTAATTGAAGATAGCATGTTATATGGTAATTTCAGTGCAATTTTGACCATCTATAATGGTAATGGTAACAAGCAACAAGAAGGTGCGGGTTAGCTCATCTGGAAACTCTTGGAGACCAATCCCATGATGACATTCTTGGCTGCTGCCCCAGACAGATGAGTTGGCTGCTGCATTTAGGGCAGGATCAAACCTGCCCAAAATATATCATCCACTAACAAGTCTGCCAGCTTTTGCACACCAGAACATAACAAATGCACAATATACGTAGTGACATTACTTTGGCGACGTGAACTTTCCCTCGCTGCAGTGAAAGCTAGGCATGAACACTACTGGACGCAACGTCCACACATACCTGCAAACAACGGTAAGAACTTGGAGCCTCCGTCCGCTCAGTGGACTGCGCGATGTTTTGCAAATATACGGTGTTTACGCAGGGATAAGCAGACACCAAGCCCCACGCACACCCACCACCAGCCCAACGCCCAACCGCAAAACCCCCTGCACGCGGGTGACTCATTCAGATGAATAAATGAAGCTGCTGCGCTGTAAGTGTCATGGCCTAAAGATGCTACCATATAACACAAAGGTAAAGCGCAGGAATAGACCGACCTCTCATAATACGGCGTGCAAATGAATCCGTGTAAAGTTCAAACGACGGTCACAACATACCGGCAAACCGAGAGCACCAGCACATGGGCACTATTCAGGTAAAGTCTGTGTTCTGCAAATCGGGATCTCGATATTCATCGTTGTTTGCACAACAAAACGCACCTCTTTTCGATTGGTTGACGTTTACTCAACCTGTTTCACCCATGCATACGATTAATGGGAATATTGGTAGCTCTATGTGGTTAAAGACGGAAATTTCCAACAGCCACAGCGTGAGGCGCCCAACAATTGCCGTACTGATAAGTCAGCACGCATGTACACTACAAATGGTCGTACCAATATGCTGTGGAAATGTATGGCTCTTCCTGCTCTCTATATGACCTGCGGCCGGGTCAGCGAGCAACAGGCGACATGCAGACAGACAGACGTACAGGCAGAATCACATTTTCGTAGATAGTATATTTGAACAAGGGCCCAGAACGGAAATGATCTGCGCCTTCGCGTTGTAGCCAGGGGCGGATCCAGAATTTCATCAAGTGAGGGGTCACTATTCATTGTGGGGCATCCCCCCTCACGAAATAGTCCCCGGATGTCAACCGATTTATTCTCACATGGCTACTTTTAATTGGTAAATTTTATTCCGCTGGAATGACCCACGTGGTTTAGTTCACTCTATTGCTAGAGGGCAATTGATTTGATTTGTAAGTTGGACATGAAAATTTGTGGCCATTTGTGGTGGCCCTGAACATTGACGTGTTTCAAAAATAAGCGTTTTGTTGATCCGAAATGAGGATTTTGGTACCTTTTCACCACGATATTTTGATGCCCCTTCGCCCCGAGAGGCGAAGGCCATGGTTGTACGCCCCACCCCACCCCCTCCTCTCCTCCCTCTGAGTCCGCCGCTGATTGTAGCTGACGAAGACCACCGGATCCAGCTAAACAACTGAAATATGAAAACTTGTGGAACTGCTGGTATGTGTGGAAGATTGGCGAATTATGCATTTTTTGCTTGTATGTTACCGGAGCTTCAAATGGCCGAAATTGTGCACCCCTCCCCCCCCCTCCTCCACCCCAAGTGATTTGCTCTTAAAATTGGTTTTTGTTTGTTTGCTTTTTTATTTAGAAATATGCTTTACTAGCTACCTGAATGGGAGCGCTCCATGTTTGTATGGGGTTTCGAGCTGAAATAGCCATTTTGAAGACCATTAGGTGCAGTTCATATGTCTGCCCTTCCTAAAGCTTAAAAGCCTCAAATTTCTGAGCTATACGCTCGCGAAGATGCACAGAATTTTTCGCGTCACGTCACGTCATTTTTCACGTCACGTTCCACGTTTTATGCTACGTTATATGAGAAACTGGACATGGCTTCTTCACTTTCAGTTGCTGTTAGCTGTTAGCGAGTTATTACGGAAATTAGACCTCTAACCAGATAACTTAAAAGCAACACAATAACCGAGTGTGTGAAGACAAATAAACATTCAAAACACTGATAAATTTGCAAGAACATATCGAGAAAGGGCCAAAACACGACTCCATTACGATTTGGCTCAGCGAACACATTTAGCCCGTGCTGTTATCTCTCATATAAATTTACTAACAGTAAGTGCCTTATGTGGCAATTTCGCACGGCTGCTTTGGCACTACATGATCGTCCTTCAAACAATCCATGACGCAGTCAAACAATAAATGGCTGAGAAGCATATTTACTAAGAATAAATTTGTTATTGCCTAGAGTGGTCTTCCCTACTTGAAAAGTAATTTATTTTGTTATATCTGATGCTTGGTTTAATATCTTCAAACTTGAATATCCCCTTTAAGAATCTTCCCGCCCTCCGTACGATGGCGTCGTGCCTCAGCGCAAAAGTTTATTGCTACAACCACCTCCGCCTCATTCCGCCGCGGGGAGCAGGCTGAATCCGACGATTTCTTAGTTATTGCTTTACATCTGCCACTACCATCACGGCCAGTCTCTCAGCATCGGTTTGTTCCACACAGTGTCAGCATAGATAGTGAGACGCCAGCCGCAATCCCTACCACTTCTCATCCTCCTTGATAACACGTCTCCATTCGTCATCCTGCCTTACTTTGCCTTCCGTACCAGCTGCTACCTTCGTCACACTCGCACGCACAACGCATCGCGCAATTATGCAATCCCAACTGACATGCTGAGAGTGGAAAAATGTGTTTGCTGCTAACATGTCCTGCTTAGGATGATTATGAGAAGCAGCAATAACGACAAGGGAGAGCATCAAGAAAGGATAAGTTTTTGCGGCGTGGAGTTACCACGCAACTGTATGATTGCCCCAAAGAAACAACTAAGGAGAGACTTCTTCAAAACACAACGAGATCAAATTTTCCACCATGAACACA